AGGGGCTAGATTAGGTTAAGTTAGGTCCCTAATCAAATCAGTCCTTAATGTTTCAAGTTTCGATATAAACAATTACTCTCCCATTTATCAAAGGCTCCAAACTAAACGAATGAGTTTGACATATATAATTTCAAAATCACAAGATCTCTTCTATGGATGGTCTCTGTCCCATCACACAATGTTTTTGCTTCTTTAATTTCTAGTTTGAAATGTTTTGATCAAAAATACTTCTCAGGATCAGGAAATGATATTAGTTTCCTAATTACAGTGGGGATAAATTAAAAATTAAAGCATAAATGAAGTTATTTGAACGACACAGAAATCAATCTCAACGCTTCTTGAGGGAGTGAGTGCTGTAAAATTCACCAGCAATAGTGGCCTTGGGATGTCAAGGCGTGCAACAACTTTGCTTATGAGTGAGGAGAAGACAATGCCTAACAAAAGCAGAACAAAGGAGACCTACCTTGGTCTCACCTTTTACCTCAAATGCAAAGGCACGAATCAACCTTCTGAGCTGTCTAAATCTTTGTCTTTTTAGTGCTTAATATAATCTCCTCTCCTCTTGAGAAATCAACACCGAACCAGAAAAAAAGGTACGGCCACAAAAAGGCACAATCAAAATATGGTTGCTCTGCAAGGAGAACTCCAAGCACTTTACAGCAACACTACCAGTTAAATCTGAAAGAAGAATGCAGCTTTGCAATTTGAGTTCTACGAAGTGCTTTGTACGAGTCCAACTTAGACCAGTGTTATCATAAAGCAAAAAAAAAAAAAAAAAAGAAGAAGAAGAAGAAAAATCATAATGATACAAAATAATTACAGCAGAAAGAGAGCAGCAGATTGCGGTGGGTTTCAGATATAAAACATGTTTATGAGCGTGTGTGCCCTCTATATTATGAGTCAAATGACATAATTTGCAACAGAAGATGTTGACAGGAGAGGTTGAGAGGAAAAAAAAAAGATAATAAAACAGAGAAAGTTACGCTGAAATCTTGCCCACCAATGGGGTCGTGTTGAATAATCACTTTCCCAACACCTTATAATCACCAATCCACGCTAGAGGAATCATGAAAGCTGACAAATAGAAGAGAAACCACATAATCCCTTCTATTTTCCTTCCATAAAATAAATCAACCCACAGAGAGACCACCAGCTCTTTTTAAGGGCATCCCTTCTACCTCAAGCCTCCAACACTAACAACCAAAAATGGCCAAGCTGGTCACCTTGTTTCTTCTGGGGCTAAGCGTAATGTCTACTCTCTACAATGTGAAACTTATGGCAGATGGAAGGGCTGTGGGAGGGCCAACCAGGTTCTATGATTTTAAGGTCTAATTTCTTACTCTTTAAGCATGCTTTATACCATCATATCCAACATCCATTGGATTTCATTGTAATTCATCTCTATTTTGCTAATGGAGATGGTAATGTCTACAGGTACAAACCAAGAAAGTTACCAAACTCTGCAGCTCGAAGGACATTGTGACAGTCAATGGCATGTTTCCAGGACCTGTGATTTATGCTCAAGAAGATGATAGAATCATCGTGAAAGTTACCAATCGGACACCTTTCAATGTAACAATACACTGGTAATCCCACGTCAAACCTCATGCATAAAATTAAACATTAGAAAGAGTGATGAACAACAGATTGGAATTTTGAAATCTTAGGCATGGTGTTCGGCAGAGGCTTTCGTGCTGGTACGATGGACCTTCATATATTACACAATGTCCAATTCAAGCAGGTCAATCTTTCACGTACAATTTTACAGTGGTGAAGCAGAAGGGTACCTTCTTCTGGCATGCTCATGTTTCTTGGCTCCGAGGAACCGTTTATGGTGCCATGATTGTTTACCCAAAGGCCGGGTCATCTTACCCGTTCAAGATTCCCTATCAAGAGCATATAATCACACTAGGTAACCTAAAAGATGTTCTTCCAGCTTTTTTCATTTTTGTCACAGCTAGAGATATCCTCGGGCATTTTGGGACTAAATCTCTCATCTGGCAATTTTTCAAAGAGTATTTCCCCAACATCAACTTGGAGCGTTTAGGATTATATTTCTAAACTGCTCCTGGAAAGAATTGAACCTAAGTTTTCACAGAGATGCCATCTCCTTCATATGCTTTTGAATTTAGAGTATTTAGTTAGGTGTGTTTTATGACTATAATGCTGTTCTTTTGACTTGGTTGGAATAATGGCAGGGGAATATTGGCTAAAGGATCTTGTACAGATTGAGCAAGCCACTTTAGCAAGTGGAGGACCTCCTCCTAGACCAGATGCATATACCATTAACGGTCATCCAGGCCCCAACTACAATTGCTCCATTAATGGTACATTAGATAGCAAAAAATACTACCACCTGACTGTGACGAAGAAGATGATATATTGTTATCTAGACTTCTTTAAATTATCTCACAATTAGCTTTAATAATAGTCTCTAGAAAACAAACTAATTCACAACTTTAACCTAACATAAATGCACCTGACCATAAATTACTGCTCTTCGAATATAGTCTATCATAACTTATAACTGCTTGCACTTCAAAATTTATCTCTTCCCTTTTCCTCTTTTTTTTTTTTTTGGTTGTTGTTGTCCTCGTCGTTCTCATAGGTTCTTTTTTTCCCCAACATTTCAGATGTCCATAAAATCGATGTGATTCCTGGGAGGACCTATATGTTAAGAATTATTAATGCGGGTTTAAACACGGAGAACTTCTTTGCCATTGCTAACCACAAATTAACAATCGTGGAAGCTGATGCTGAGTACACCAAGCCATTCGCAACAGATATAGTAATGGTGGGACCAGGCCAGACAATGATTGCCCTAGTCACAGCTGATCAACCAGTAGGCAAATATTCCATTGCTGTGGCACCTTACAAGTCTGGAAGGATTGTTAATTATCAAAATATTTCAGCCATTGCTTACTTCCACTATGTTGGTGCAGCAGCTCATAGTTTATATTTACCAGCTAAACTACCTAAACTTGACGATAGTCTGCCTGTCAAGACAGTCATGGATGGACTAAGGAGCCTTAATCAAGTCAATGTTTTCAAGGAGATTGATGAAAACTTATTCATCACCATTGGATTGAACGTCCAAATGTGTCATTCAAAGACACCAAAACAAAGCTGCCAAGCCATTAACAACGGGGTCATGGCTGCTTCAATGAACAATATAAGTTTCAATCAGCCCAAGTTGTCAATTCTGGAAGCCTATTATAGAAAGATAAATGGATCATATACTGAAGATTTTCCTGATGCACCCTCAAAACGCTATGACTTTGTACATGGGGCACCTAATAACATTCCATATGACACGCAGTCATTGAACGGGACCAGAACAAAGGTCCTTGAATATGGCAGTAAGGTGCAACTTATTCTGCAGGACACTGGAACAGTAAACATTGAAAACCACCCAATGCATTTTCATGGTCACAGCTTTTATGTCATAGGTTATGGCACAGGGAACTATAACCCGCAAACCGCACAACTCAACTTAGTAGATCCCCCTTGCATGAGCACGGTTGGAGTTCCAGTGGGTGGATGGGCAGCAATTCGATTTGTTGCTGACAATCCAGGTATAGAAATATAAAACGACTATTTTATTTGACTTTTTAGCTACTTGGTTTAACATTTTCGTCCTATTTTTTCTGCAGGGGTATGGTATATGCACTGTCACATTGACATACACCAGTCATGGGGACTAGGAATGGTGTTTATTGTGAAGAACGGAAAAGGAGAGCAGGAATCCTTACCACACCCTCCCACAGACATGCCACAATGTTGAGACTACCAGAGGATCCTAACAATAGTACTGACTACTGTTGTGGCCTTTCTTTATCTTGAGGATTCTTTAGCTCTAGCCTCCAAGTGCGAAATCTGTGGGCCAGTCCCTTTCTTTAAGGAGCATGAGTTAACAGATGTAAAGAAGCAAAATGAACTGATCAAGGGTGCTCTTTTCCATTGGTTTGAATAAGTTATATATGACTCGTACATCAGAATTTAGAAATAAACTAAGGACAACTTGCAAAATTGGCATCCAATATTGGAGACCAAAGTGATACATAGTTATTCTAGTTCTCACAAAAAGCACATTGAACTTAGTCGAGAGCTAAGGTATTTGTTGTTAGCCTTTCTATTGCATATTTGTAGCATCGTCAATGACCTGATACTTTCTGTGCAATAAGATCATGAGTTGAAAGAGAGTATCCATGGTTAAACATTATTTAGTAGCCTTTCAAAGAAAATCAGCATTTGAGATTTTTTTTCTATGTGGATAGTGTGAAGAAAAAGAAATTATGGAAAAATCATCAAAATAGGAAGTAGATCTTAATGAAGTCAATGCAGACGTTCATACTAGCTCTAACGGTTTTGCATGCGTCCGTTCTCAACATATTCTCCATTAAACATCCATGGTCACATGAATCAGTTGCAACATTTTACATGACAAAATGTAGATCAAGGATTTAAAGTACAATAACCGGCATAATGAAGCATAAGATGTCTTTGGGCAGCTAGATCTATCATATACTAGTGCAAGAAAGGTCAGTCAGTTCTTAGGAACCAGGTCCCATAAGCAAGATCAAGTTAACTATTATGCGATAGAATTTCTTCAGAATCGGCTGAATTTTTTCAAAATGAGATGTCCACTTCAAGTGTACAATGAAACTCTTTCAAGACAGTCACTATGTTCAGAAGAATCCATTGTTTCAAAGGAGAAAAATTGTACAACCAACCAAATCCATTAATAATTATTTTTCAATAGAATCATAAATTTATTTAAAAAAAAAAAAAAGGACGTATTTCTTCCCCAAGAAGCCAGACGACCTCGTATTGCAAGCCAGAAGTTACATATTAATTGACTTTCTGATCAGAGCTTCTTATTGATGCTCTGCTCCATATTTTAAGTGGGAAGAGGAAAAAGTCCCCCTAGTAGGATTTTCCCGCAAATTCCTATCTTAGTTTTCACCATATTATAAATCACAACAAGATAATCATTTGCTAAAAAAAAAAATGTAGTAATGGGACTAATTTGAATCTTATATTAATAGCTTTTGTATTCAACAGATAAATACAAATTTCAATCATTCAGACTTCATAAACTTAACGAGCTTAAATTAATAATCCTGATCTAGTACACATGGTACTACAATGCCATGGGAATCAGATGGGCAGATTCCTGGTGACCTCTCTCCTATACTTTTAGATCATGCAACTTCCCATTAGAACTTGTATCAAAGAGAAGATGTTATGGATTGACCCTCTCCACACTCCAGCTTTTCTCTGCAGTGGCACTGACACTTGATTTATATGTCAGCCTCAAGTTACTCTTCAAATTCAAATAATCAACCTGTAAATTATGGAAGCCAGAGTGACTAATATGTCTGGGGGAAAGCCATGAATGAAGCCAGACTCTAATAGATATCACAAGTCACAACCTGATCTGGGTCTAGAATCAGCAAACAAAAAGCATCAACTGGACCAGTAGAAGGATCTAAAGATATTTCTCGCTGTGTTTCTTCACTTAAACAAGGAAGTCCTGGGTTAGGCCCCAAATACTGCAACCTTGATCTCAGTGAACTAGCAAACCAGGACTTCTCTCTTTGCTGCATGTGGTATCAATAAACTGAGAGAAAGATATGAAGCACATATAGTACTCTAATTTGGAGAAAAATGAAAAAGATATGTGATGTGATATGACTGTGGCACAACATATTCATATGAATCAGATAACAACGTCACAGTGAATATTTGCAACAGTAATATAAAAATTGATAATTAATCATTCTCAAGGAAGAGATTCTCCGTAAATCTCCTCTTCCTTCTAATGAGGCACGTATGAATAAAGAAAAACGTCCATTTATGTGGCTTGAAAAGGAGTCACAAATAACTTGATGGACAAATTACACAAAATATGACTTAGGCATCACCAAAAAATCCCCATCAAACCTGAAGTTTTAAAGGGCTAGGATTCAATCCATCAATGACATCTATTTGTCCATTTATCCTGAATTGCTCCCAGGAATCCGTGAAATACCAACATATCTAGAACAAGAAAAACAACATTTAGACTAACCGTGTACTCTGTCAGGAGTGAAAATAGAATTGACAAGTGAATGAAAATTGACATGGCATGTTTATGACTAATGTTTTTAGAATGCATCCCTTATTTTCACTCCATTTTCGTTCTTCTCACCTTCACTCCTAAGCATACTACAATATGAACCCTTTCTTTCTCCTTCTTCATGAAGGTAAAGGAAATAAGTAAAAAGGTGCCTTAGATATAGATCACCTCGCCAGAGGAACAATGCTTGAGCTCTTCAATCTGTATAAGAGAAATCCAAGCAAGTGAATTTTCAATGAAATACAAATCATAGAACAAAATACTCATGGCAGCAGCGACTATGATACAAAAACCGACCAGTCATATGAGTAAATAGTGATTAACCAGATATTAAACTAGCATCATCTAAGAGAAGTCCAATCACAGAAACAAATTCCAAGCAAACAGGAAATCCAATTCCATACATTGTTAGGCCCCCCAAAAAAGTAATCTCTGCACGAGTTAATCCATAAAAGAAGCTTGCTGCATGCCAATGTTTCTAATATTTTCGAATCACTAATGAGCTTATACTTTCACCTAATAACTTGCACATTCACTAATTTTAAATTTGAAGGATGCTAAAACAGAATGCGCCCGCAAAATGATGACTCTGCTCTGAGAAAAAAATTGAAAGATTACCAATTTATAGATTTTAAAATGGATTGAGAATAAAAGACGCATATTAACCTTGCGACTGCGTCCATCAGTATTTATCTGGATCTTGTCAGTGTTGTCCTGGAATCCTCTGAAAGCCACAAAATAGCTCACATATCACAATAACTCCAAACGAGCAAAATAAAGAGTGACTTACTGAACAGAACCTGAAGACAACTGTACGATTCGAAGGTCTTCCATTAGTTCCAATCGTTGCCTGAAGCACAAAGAAAACGATGTATTAATTCAGCAAAATGCAGCTGATGCGAACAGAAAAGAATCGAAGGGCACATACCAGCTGGAAGAAAGTAGAATGCTTTAGGTGACTGTTGGATTCCAGAGCGTTCATCAGAAGCTGCTTCCACGGTGATATTGCCATTCTTGTTGCTTGGGAATTTGTTGCAGACATGTTCACTGATCAGCGTGTCTTGAAATGGATTCATATTTATATCTGTACATAACAGAGAATTATAGATTTATCCGCAAAAAAAAAAAAAAAATCTTTGCAGTGATTCGCTGAAAAGTAACCTTTTGTATTGGTAATATTGGGCCTGAATTGTTATGAGAAAACTATTGGGTCATAAGCCCAAACTAAAATGCGGTTGCCCCCAATTAGCTGCTGGACTTTAGTGGCCTGATTAATTCAGAGAAATTATTCCTTGTGAATTGTGAAATATGTACATGCCTAATTCATATGCCTAATTCATATGCATAGTTGGCAAACAAAATTATTGTTTGTATAAATAAATGTTATATGATTTTCATGCAAAAAAAAGGTCACAGTTTCATCCAAGTTATTATGGAATTTTATGGGTAAAATGGGCTTAACCCTCGAGATTTAAAGAATTAATGAAAAAGGATATAAGATTGAAGTTTATTACCAAGGGAAAAATACTTTTATATTCACCTTAGTTTTTCGCAGGAGAAAATCTTATTGCTTTTATGTATTTCTAAAGTCTAAAGATGTAGATTATAGGGTCTACCTATGCCTTATAAATTATATCCTTAGGCAATGAAATGAGAGAAACGTGTTACCAGATATAAACAAGATTACAAGTTTCCGTGAATATTTATTTATTTTTTTTAATAAAAAGATCATTTTATATTCAACCAGGCAGTTTAATCTTTCATCTTCACTTTATATTGATCACCCAGCCACTTCATGTTCTATATTTAATGGGGTAAATAAGAAAACCAGCATTTTTTTTTCAAACATTAAATCATTTATTAATATGTGTGGTTTACCTAGCCTTGTCCGATCCGTTGCTTATATTAGGCAATAGGAAATATCATTTCTTTTTAAATATTCACTATCAAGTCAAGCATACCAGCTAGGCATGAGCTTTACGTAATGAGGGAAATATTTTCTACAGGAAGATTTGACTTTTAGTATTCAAATCAAATTCAACATGTATGCATGCTTGAGCTATAGTCAAAGGTTAGTAAATCAAAATAACATTAAATGAAAGACAAATGAATTCAGCAATGGAAAGAGCATGTGACGGCGTAAAATTAAAGACTAGAAACCAAAATTGAATTGGGATACTACCTCCTTTAATTTATAGCATGCTTTAGATTTTCAAAGTTGAGTCCATTATATTACATATACTCCTTCCATTCTAAATGTGAAGGTTAGTTCACAAATTTATTTTGATATTAAATATAAAATTTTAATTTATTTTATATTTCATATATAATATTATAACGTCATTCGAGTATTGCTGCGCTCATAAATGAAAAATGGTTCTTTTAATTTTTTTTTTAACCTCCAATTAAAGTCTGCAAGGCTAGGGTTAGTTTCAAAAATATAGCCAGAGGTTTATTTTTGAGCCTCGCGGCGACCTCACTTCAGCATTGGGCGTCTCATTGGATGAAGCCTAAACCCGTCGCTAGGCATGGGTGTTCTTATCTAAATCAATTCTGTTTGTTGCACCCAAAAAAAAAAATCTGTTTGAAACACTAAGTATAAGAACTTCTCCTAACAGAGATTTGAATATTAATTTACCACGTGAGAAATTAACTTTTTTACTGGACCCAATTCTCGTGAGTTAATTTATATATATAGACACACATGCATACATTGTAAGTATATGTATATAAATTTATAACTGCATGGGTGTGTAACCATATATTACTTCCGATTCTTAATATAAGAGATGGTTTAACTTTTAATTTGATTTTAAATTAAGACCTCAACCTATGTTGTCTCTCATATTTATCCTTTTTTTTAAAGTATTTCTTGTAGTAGTTACACATGTTAAAAATCTCATCAAATGATAGTTTTAACTAATACATATGATTAATGAAAGTATTATAGGAAAGACAATGTATATTTACTGTAAGTCATTAATTTTAAAAAACTTTTTTAATCTACTTAAATTACTAAACTAGTTTTTATATTTAAAAACGAACATACAGACAGAATGTGTATTTTGGTCGAGTAGAAATGGTTATAAAAAGGGCAGAAGCATAGAGGCACGGTGGTATGGGATGACGATAGGCAATAAGACTTGACCAAAAAATGGAATGGCATTTGCGATTAGCTTGCGTCAATGTTTGATCAGTCTTTGGGTTTGTCCTCAAATCAAATCAAACCAAACAAGTAGTTTGTTTGAAATTCTCGTAATGATCAATATTTGGCATGCATCCCAATTTCATTATTATTCTTTTCCCACCAGGTGCAGCTTTAATATATATATATATATATATATATTGCATTCAGATGCTTTTCTTTTTGAGATAAAATATTTAAAAAAAAGTTTGATTGCAGGTGCCCTTAATTAATTTCCATTAGATATCCTTTCAATTTAGTCAAACGTATTTTATCTATAATAATGGAAAATATCAATATTGTCAATTATTGTTGGTCAAAAAAAAAATTGTCAATTATTGATGCTAATTATAAAATGCAAAGGAATAACGTGTAAATATGGCTCGTTTCAAACCCCGTATTTTATTTTTTATTCTTTCAATATTCTTTTACACGATTTAACTGATTTTCAATGTTAAAACAACAGTACCGATTAGATTTCTTAAAAACAGCTTAGAAGATACTCCCTCTTATCCTTAATATGGGATTTAATTAACTAATTTCGGTGGGTTAATAAATCAAGCAAATTACTCTTCTAATCCTTAACGTAAGACCTAATTAAGAAGTTGATGTTAGTTCTATATATAAGACCTATTTTATATATTTATTAATTTTTTTATAAATTAACCCTATTGATATTCTCCCAATAATCAAGCAAGAGAGGGAAGAAGGGAATTAAGAAAAGTATTTAAGCTGTTTTAGGAAAAAAAATATTCTATTAACCAATTTAACTAACATCTTTAATCTACTCAAATTAGTTAATTAGGTCTTATATTGAGAACTATATGAGTAGTTAATTATAACAAATATGATATGATTGTCTTAAAATATGCTTATAAAATATTAGATTACTTATATTAGTGCATAAAAATTAGGTTGGGAAGAAATGATAAATACAAGAAATAAAGTGACGGAGATCTTGCATTTAAAATTAAATTAAACTCTCTACCTGAATTCTATGTTAGAGAATAGAGGAGTATTGTCTATCCAAATATACACACATAGCATGGGAAAAACATATACTCTTTGTCAGAAATTTCCAGAAAATACACACATATATATATATATAAATGAATGTATTTAGTGATATGATTATGGTGAGAATTATTAAGAAATTTAATTGTTAAGAAATCTCAATGACAAGTGACTAACGTGAATCTGTTGTCATTATAAAACTATTATCATTGCGTACTTTTTAGTTGTCAATAAATTTTAGGGTAATTAAATCACTTCTTTAAAATTTTGATTGTAATTCTCTCGTGATTATATTATCATTGCGCATTGCTGCCCAAAGGGTTTGAAGTCAATAGTTGTAAATGGCATCCAACCATCCAAGTGAAGTAATCAATCAGAAAAGAACAAATTCCAATAAATTAATCTGAACAGAATAATCAAATAATCGACATCATCCATCTTCTTATATTCAACGACTTTGAATAAAATAACTAAAACCTGTTTGACTCACTTCCCCACTTTGCATTAATAATTTTGCATCTGAAATATGCATATCCTGCACTAGTATATATTACTCCTCCGGTCCTAAATATATAACTCAATTTATAATATAATTTACACTATAAAAAGGGTCTTATATTTAAGATATGAAGAATAATACATAATCAAACAAAAGATATATATATCTTATGAGAACACTATATATTAAAAGCATTTGGTCAACTTTTTCTGATGATGGTGTTCTTTCAAGACAATCTACACTTTGCAGGTTTCATGCTTATGGGGTAAGGCAGTAACTTTGAAGTTTGAAGCAGATGTGTTTTATGGCGGCTTTAATTATATAACTTTTATCTATGGTGGCTTTAATATATACACATAAATACATGCATACATATGTACGTATAGTATAAAGTATAAATTATAGAAAGCTAGTTTTCCAGTTATTTTTATAGTGTCGGTCTTACGTTCTTGCCTCTTTGGACTTTGGACCTGAACTTGTTCTCTAAGGCGGTGCTATAATATCTTAGGGATTATTAATTAATTAAATGTCCCAAAATCAAAGCTCATTCTTTAATTTAACACGATAAACAATTACTATTATGCTGGTAAAAAAAAAAGAAGATAAACAATTACTATTATAATGAAATAAAGTATTTCTTCCCTAGAATAAAAAATTAAGGCAGGTTTATCCATCTTGATTTCTAAGTTTCTATATCTATAATTGATAATGCAGTTGGCAGTTGGCAGTTGGCAGTTAGGGCTAATTCAAGTGATAACGATGAGATGCGGTGAACATAATTTACATCTTTTTTATTTAATAAAAAATAGTATCAATATGGTAAATGTTTTAGTCTGTCAATAAAGGTAATAACATATTTATTGAAGTTTAATCCAATTGACTCAGTTGCAGGTTTTTTAGTCACAGAAACTCATCAAAAGAACAAAAGTTAATAATACATAAACTGAGCTGAATTTCAAGTATTAAGAGAATATATGGAACCCCGCAAGCATTGATCCGTCTATAATCTCAAATATAGTCCACTAACTTCTATCTCTCTCATAAAATATATATTCTCTAAAAACAATATTTTAATCCTTGTTATAATCCATTAAGATATTGATAAGAGTTTCAACTTTGTTGGAATTTTGATTCTTTAGGATTCCTTTATTGTAAATTTTTTGGTGAAATGTTTAAAGGAGTAATATTAACAGAGAAGGCAAAGAGATAGAAATAAATAAAATCCCTTAAGGCGTTTTTGTCATTTTACGTTACTTTGTCCATCAAAATTTTGGGGGGCAGGGTCTTAATTTCGAATAAAACGATTTATTTTGAACTCATTTAAATTCATAAAACCCCTACTTTGTTTTCTTATAAAATAAAACGTATGTTTAATG